TATATATATATATAAAAAAAAAAAAATTGTATTTTCTCCCTGCTTACAAACATAAGAACATGATAAAATAACAAGATTGTATACATGACCCTTGAGATACCACCACATTTGTATGTCTTAAACATTTCTAGGAAGTTTTGTTTTACCTGTCCTGAATGTTCTTCCTGACAATAAGGAAGTAAGATTTAATAAGTCGTTCAATCACTTCACAATCTCGTTGCTCACGGGCAGAAAGTTTGCGTGCAACAGGTACAGGCTATGTAAAAAATAAAAGCCTCAGTTTACCAATTCTGCTCATTTGCATAAGTAAATAAAACTCAAACTGTGGAGTCTAAAATAAACTATTGCTCTTTTAGTCTGATAGTTTGACAGATGTAACCTGTCTTGCAACAAACCTGTAATTTTTCAGAAATAAAATTAAGAGACATGTCAAAATCCATCTGGGAAAAAAGGTCAGAGGGCACCACTACTACATTTTTTTTAAAAGCTCACTGAAGAAACTAAACTCTCAAACACTTAAAGGATCTCCATCTACTTTTAACTTAAAAGGTTTTCGTCTTTAATGATTCTTTTCCTCTAATATAAAAATCCCAGCTTCAGCAAAAAAGAGCAGGAATTCAAGTTAAGACATGAGTTGAGATTTGTTTCTGTACAAAGAGTGATCTAGACAAGGAGTTCACTTGCACGGGAATTTGTCAAAGGAAGCCAGTTATCCCAAATCATATGGTGAAACTGGTGGGGGGGAAAGATGAAGGATTGGGCAAGCAGGAAAGCAGAAGAGACTGGCTAGAGCTCCCTGTCCCTATAGTGGTAACTATTTACAAAGATATCGTGTATTAGTAGCGAAGTTGCAAGACACGGAATTCGCATGTTTCCTTTCCTGAGCCTGAACTACGAAGAGAAGGTATTCGTCTTTCATGACTCACCACATCTAATAGGTTTACAGCATGTCCTTTTTGAGGACTAGCAGGTAGGGCTGCAGCTAGCTTGGATTTTTCCTCTGCCGATGCCTCTTCCGCTTTTGAGGGTTTCAGCATTCCTCTCCAGTTGCCTGTTCCAGGCTCCTGAGATGTATCTCCTGCTCCAGGAGCGGTCTGCACAAACAGCACAATGAAGAAACGTTGGAGAGTTAGAACTTGGGCAGTGCAAAGCAGTGTCTGATCAAATCTGCTATTACTGAGCTACAGGTAAAACTCACTAAAAACGAGACTTTCATATCTATATTCCCTTCATTCTATTTTTCACATTCCCTACCTTTGTTCCCCCTTTGCTGCTTACAGCTGACACAAAGTACCAGTAAAATGAAAGCTTGTAAAACTCACATTCTTCCTAACAATGGTATGAAAATGCCTCACATAGACAAGCTCTCCAGCATTTTAAGGGTCTACAAATCACTTCTGAAATACAGAATGGTCTTCCTGAATCATGTGGCTTTTACCACTTTTACCATACATACTTGGAGCAATACAACCTATACTTTCAGGACCATTCTGAAAGTACGTTTTGAAGATCGCCACAGCTCTTGGAGGACTTGAATTTCAATTCTTTGGTATTTTATTTAAATATAAACTGAAGTTTCTTAAAGTAACAGCTTTGTAACAGTAATGCACATTTATGTTTCCAGGTAGCCACAGCTATGAACATATTTGTGCAGCTAGACCTCAATTTACAGAAGGCTTTTTTTCTACCAAATCAAAACAAAAAAAAAAACTCTCCATCCTCTGGAAGTGAAGATCAGAGTTTCTAGGAAGTTCCAGACAAGAACGACTCACTAATCTCTGGAGAAAAGGACATAAACACCCAACTCTTAAACATTAGGAATCACTGAACAAAAGAAATATTAGTAGATGGTATCCACCACATGTTAAATTAGTTTTTTTTTTTTTTAAAAAAGAGAGTTTATTTTGATGTAGAACAGTGGTAATTTTTATTTTGTACCCTTCCATAAGCCTAGTATCCACTCTATTTACTAATCTGCTTTAAAAATCTATTGCTGTTTGAAAAACATTCAAGGCCATTCAAGGCTCTGAACTACTAACTACTCATGTCTTGTTTCAGATATAGGAGGAAATAAGCTAAATTTATCTATTGTGTTTACAATTAACACACCACAGGCTGATCTTGAGTCAAAAAAAAAAAGCGAGAAACCAAGCACGGCAAACAGAATACCAACAGTCCCATACTAGGAGGAAACCCAGCTAAACTGTGCACATCAGAAATTTTATTAAAATTGCACAACTGTTCAGAGGCACTGTAAAAAATACACTATAAGAATTCACATCAACCTCTGCTAATAAGAGAGAACCATTGATGAGGAAAGCTCCATTACATTATTTCTGATTGCAAGACAGCTATTCAAAATGGCAAAAATCCCTATGCCACTCTCATTCAGTATTACTGTGGAGGCTCCTCTATCTTCAAAGTAGTTTCAGAAACAAAGCTACATTCTTTCACAAGAAAAAGTGTGTTGAGTATGTACCACCTAATAAAGGACACGTTTTGTGGGAAACACAAATTAAACCAACTTTGGCAGCTTCCTGCAACTTCTTAAGTCACAACGGCATCCTCACAGTACCCGAATTTCTTTTTAATGCTTCCAGCATATCAGAACCTCTAAAACTCTGATGAAAATAATACTTAAAATTCTACTACTGACTAGATTTTGACTAACTACTTTGTTCAGGACAGAAATGGCAGCTTTGCACTAGGAGCTGGATGTGCATATGCAATGAAGCAGAAAGCCTGAGTCCTCTTGGTACTCCCAATACACAAATTTCTGACTACCCATCTTTTCTGACTCCAAGTGAAAGCAATTAGCAAAACAGTCTTTACAGTAATCAGCTGTTATTTTAACATGAGAGAGAGCATACCTAGGTGTAAAAAAAAAAAAACAAAACAAAACACTGCAGAACACATTTCACGAATATAAGTAAACCAGGGATTGAACGATTATGTGAAACAACAAAAAGGAGGTTCATTCTGAACAAAGCCTGTAAGGATTCCCTGTAGGAAGCAGGAAACTCGCATTTTTAGTTTATCTTCTGTCCTCCTCCTTTAACTGTCAACACATTAAAAACATGCAGTTTAACAACCATGCTGAACACTTTTGATTACAATACTATTGCACCAAACAACCTACTGACTACAGTTTGAGGCAAATTGTGCTGCAGTTACACCACAATATATTGCAACCAAGAGTTCAAACAGAAAGCAGTGACTTTGCCACCTAATGGCACATCTTTACCTGCCACTGCACATACTAAAATCAGTAATGCCAAGTAGCCTATACTATGTAAGGCATACTGTGTCAGTGACAGAGCACTAAATACAAACTGCTTTCCATAGTATCTGCGGTGCACCACAACAGAAATGTGCATGCAGTGCTTATAGGAAAAATCAAGACAGACCTTGCCATCAGCCTCAGCAGAAGCAGCAGTAACAGTCTCCTGGGAAGCAGGTGTCAATGCACCTGGAGCTTTAGTAGACTAAAGAAGGTAAAAAAATGCAGGGAGGGGGAAAAAAAAAAAAAAATTCAACTGAAGACCACCAAATCTACCTAGCAAATTTCATACACTTTTACCTACTAGCTTCTTTAAAAATCCAGAAAAGAAAATATTTTGAATTTGCAAGCAAAACAGCAATAATAAGCAGAAAAAAGAAAAGAAAAAAAAAAAAGCATCTCCAAGACAGTTAAGAGACTTTTGGCTTATCTGGCCTTCAATTTCTTTTCAGCTCCTACACTGGTGACAAACATGAAGTCAATAAAAAGAAGGATCAAAGAGCACTGAAAGCACTCTCTAGACAGGTACCTTAAATTCCCAGTTCATTCATCAGCTGGCTTCTGCTGATGAAAGGCAGTAATATTAGATCCATTCTGGGACTTTGTCTCACTTTTTAAGCTAACAAACTTAATGAACTGATTTCTATCAGCTGTATTAACTCCTGTTACAACCTTTGAGGAGCTTAAACTGTATTCTGTACATTTGGATTCTAAATACTTCACCTAATATTAAATACCTAACTGTCTAAAATTCCAGCTGATTGTCAGACCATTCACTTCTACAGCCAGGCAGTGTTTTCCATGACACCGCTTCTTCCACCCATGTACTTACTTGTCATTGAACTAATCCCAAAACCCGGTAAAACTAAACAAGCTCCAGAGACAGAATACACGACTGGATTATGATGATCAACTGAAAATGTCACCTCCACCATCTTCTCCCAAAGAAAGCAAGACTGCAATAAATTGCAGTTTTAAGAGTGACCTAAAAAAAAACCCAACCACCAAGTCACTATGTCGTCACACTGAATATTTTAAATCACTTGTTTACCCTTTGAAATCAGTGTGTGTCAGCCATAAATTTAAGGATGCAGGTTCTGACTCCCTCTTTGACATCTGCAGGCATTTTAAGCCTTACCTCAGATGACCATCAGGTAATAAGTGTAATATTAATGTAAATTTATAGGCAAGTCTTCAAAAATCCCAGATTTAAAACCTGCCAAAAATTGCATCTTTGGAAGAAGAAAATAACATTCCGCTTCCATCTTATGAAATTGAAAGAAAAAAGTCAGTATCTGGAAGCTCCCAAGACTGTTACTACGGCAGCATACCAAAGTTTCCAATACTTAGATTGGATCAAAGAAGAATGCATTAAACTTTGCATGAATAAATAAATAAAAATCAACATTTACTTACCTTGTCTCGTGGCACAGCAGAAGGCAATTCCCGGGCTAACCTGTTACGCCTTTGTTCCTTTAAAAACAATCCAGCAAGACCTCAATTACGTATTACTCTGTATCAACACATATGCAAGATTCATATTTTACAGATGACTTACATTTTAGAGACAAACACTAGCAATTTAATCTCATCCAGTGTCATGTAGTCATACTATGATCCTACAAAAACCTCAGTTATTTGGTTAAAACTACTCTGATTACCTGGTCAAAAATAAATTCTCAATATAAAAACTTCTGCAAAACATTTTGCAACACACTCCGTAATCAAAACTAGAGCCTTTAAAAAAACAATATCAAAGCTACACAGTTTGGCTCAGCATAGATACCCTATAGCCCTCATTAAGCTTTAAATCTTCAAAGTAATCTAAAAGGATTTGGTTCTGTGGCCAGTAGGGTTAAGTATGATTAGCCCAAAAGGAAGAAGGAGGCGGCAGAATTCACTTTATAGCAAAACAGAATTTGAAGCAAATCAGGACAAACAAAAATCTGATTTTTGTTGAAGTTAAGAATTGTTGTCCACTGAATAAAGGTAAGATGTTTTACGTGCTTTGTTTCTCCAAATATTTCAGTGTCCTGTTCAGGAAAATGTTGGGAAAGAACTAGTTTCAGTAACACACAATAATACAATAATCTCATTTGTTCAACTTCACAAAGTCCTAATTTTTGTATTCACAACAGTTTGCACACACATTGTTTCTGAACTAGATTCAAGAGCAGTCTACCAAGGCAAATTCAATTGCATACCTAGTCAATACAAAATTTATGTATAGAAGAAAGTAAAAGGTTAGAACTAAAGAGCAGAAATGGTAACATAAGCATTTAAAAAAAGAACACTACTATGAAAGAATGTGTTAGATAAGCAGAGGAACACAAGGATATTAGCAAGCTCTTAGCCAGATGGATGAAGTACTGCAACAAAATCAGACTGCAAGAAAGAATTGAGCAGATCAGTTGTAGAACAACTGCTTCTATAGGATGATGACAGCAACAAATATTATCAAAGCTGGGCTTGAAAAGCAGAAAGACTACTGAAATTGGAAAAGGCTTATGGGAGATTGATGGTGAAAATTGTCTTAGGGAGACTGAAGCATGGTAACACAGAGATTCAAGAACAATGCCGAAAGGAAGCAGAAACTAGAACCTGAATAGAGGAAACAATACTTGTATTATCCTTTGATGAATGAGAGGAACATTATAGCTATTGATACATGCTGTCGGAGACAAAATGCAGTTGCTTCAACATTAAAGAGTATTTAACTACTATCTATTTAAAGTTTCTCTTCCAAAAATTTCATTTAATAGCAAATACTCAATTAGGTACCCATCTTACTTTCCAGACAGAAATACAGGCAGAATTGCTTTCAGTGTAATACCAACCACTGTTCCTGAATGTAATACACAATATAAATCTAACAAATCAACAGATCGCAAAATAAAAGTATACACCATATTTGTGATATATCACATTTTTATACTTCAAAGTGTAGAACCGTGCTTCAATGAAAGAAATTGAAGCATTTGTTCTTTTACCAATTATTTAGGCTCTCACTTAAAGGAGTCAAAAGACTTTAAGAGAATGTATTTTCTTACCTCTATGTTGTTATTCATTAAACCACAGGCATCAGCAAAGTCTGGATGTTTGGTATTGATATAAGCTAACTCAATGGCCACTAGATTATGAACCTGCAACGCAATGTCATTCACAGTTCAAGAATTCAGTGAGTGAATCTAATGCTAGTGAAGAGCAATGACCTACAATGCTAGAAAGCGTAGTCTAACTGCCCATAGCAAAAGATGGTTCTTCCTGCCTCAAAGACATTAAAGTTCTGATCCAGAAGGCAAGAAGGGAGTTCATTCATTCATTGCAATACATTCAGACCTTCAGGCATTTTGGATGTTACATCAGTAACTTGTTAGCTTCATCAAGCTAACCCCTCTCCAGCAATAAATTAACAAAACTCAGCAATTTAATGAGTATAAGCTGTATGGTAATGAAGTGAGCTATAGAGTCATCCTTCAGCCACAAGCCACATACAACATTTGAACCAGTGAGAGATGGCTCACTATGGGGGAGTGAGCATACAGAACAATTTTTGCTTTTCACATCAAACATATGCAAAGTCAGTAACTGAAACACTGTTTCCTCCCCAATAAGCAACCAAAGCAGACTTTTATATTAAAACATATTTCCTCAAAGCCAGAAGTTGAATTTTTAGTTCTCTCTAGTTAAAGGGCAAAATCAACATTTTGTGTTGCTTTCATCTCCGAAACACACAGAATAGGATTATAATTTACATTTTCACCACTGTATCCCAAACTTTACAGTAAATGCACAGCTTCTGTTACAAGGGAAGGAAATATACCTATGTGAGAAAGACCAGGAGATGTTAAATCCAAGTTTTAGTAAAATTCTTCTATGGAAATTGAAACACAGGGGACAATAAGCTGAAGCAGCTTCCCCCCACCCCTTTGTTTCTTCTGTATCTATCTTCTAATATAGAAGAAGTTTCAAACCATGTAGATATTAAATACCTAGCTATTTAACAAATATAAGTTAAAAATCCTTTAGGAATTTGGGTTCCTGACACTACAGAGCAATCAGAAGCATCAAGAAAGACTCCAGAAAACACACATTTTTTTCCAGCAAAATTATAGATGGAAAATTACCATTTCATTTGTGACAGGAAGTCTTCTACGCAGAAGACAAGTTACTACTTCAACTATGGCATCATGCAATTTAGGAAACCTCAATAATTCCTAAAAACAAAACAAAACAAACAAAAAACAATTTACTGATGAGACTTCCAGATTTTTTTAGGGAAGTGGGGGGAAAAAAAGCCCAACAATTACAAACATAATTCTAAAACGTGCATTTTTACCTGTGTACTGTAATTACTACAATGCTGGATAATCCTCTGCATTTCTTCATGAACCAGCTCCACACAGCGCAAGCTAGGTTCTTCTAAACGTTTGATTTGCCTTTTTACCAGCAATTCAAATGAAACTTCAGGAACAAACAAGGCAGGACGGGGACCCTAGTTCAAAAGGAGGGAAAAAGCTGCTGAATTGTGTATTAAAACAATATGCATTTCTAAGAAGTAGTAGCTCATGAAGCCCAGAATAAATCAGGTCACAGTGCTCGCACCCAAAAGAACACTCAGAAGAGGTCTTAAGAATAAAATATGTTACAAGAATATTTAAAAATAAAAGCTATAAAATACAGTTATTACCTTTAAGGCAAACTTTGTGTTAAATAATGATTAACCAGCATCCTTACAGAATCTTCATTTCTACCTACTAATGTCACTCTAGGCTTACAACTATGAACAATTCTTTTCATGTTTGTGGATTCAAGTTTAAATGAAATTTATTATGAAGGCAAAGACATTCTCCTCCTAACTTCATAGAGACAAGTTACAATTATTTATTTGACAGTCGTGGGCATACAGCTCTTGCTGCAAGGTAGATGGGTTTTCTGTTAAGTATAATCATATTACAGTGTCACTGATTTACAGTGTTTGTGATAATTTCATTTATGTCCATACAGACCAATCCTTAGCTATACATAAAACATTCTTTACCTGAAATTTCCTTTTTTAATTAACACTTTAGAAACACAAAGATGTGATATGTCATATAAAAGCAAGACATCTCTCCTCTTACTAAATGCTGTTTTGTGTTTTACATTTACAGAAGGATAAGAGCAGGCACACAGATCATTGGCACAGAGTACCTAATGCGTCCGAAGTTTGAGTAACTATTGACCATGCAGAAACCTGACTATCTGCACCCAAAAGAACACAGTACAAAAGCAGACTTACATGTCTGACATCCAAAGTCAAGCTCTAAGGAGTGAGCATTCTATACACTGCAAAATTTAAGTGAACTTACTCCGTTAACTCTTAGCAACACCAATTCCCATATTCACAAGAAACCAAATCTGTCATGTAAACACTGAACCACTGAAGAGTTGTGTCCCTTATATAGAATTAAAATACCTGAATGTGTCCTAGCCCATACATCTCAGACCGAGTCTTCATAACTAACAGAAGTGCTTAATGCAAAATGAATACAGAGGCAGTCTTCCATCACAATTTCTGTAATATCTAATAGCTTCAGCATAGGGTTGCCAAAGCTGGGCCTGAGCTTTATTTCAGCCTGTAAATAACAGTAATGAGAGGTAAGCATTCACCTTAAACTCAATCCATATCCGATAATGGCTGCAAATTTGGATATTGTAATTTTTCCACTTAAAATACCAAAAAGCAGGATTCAGCCTCTTAATTTTAACTCATTCAGCTGAGATCACTAATTCACAGGACTGAAGGAGCACAAATTTGTTGAAACCTTATCTTCAAATCCAATATATAGCAACAACTCTTAGAAATACAGAAGAACACTCACGGTAGCATTTCTAATGGCAGTCAGAATATCAATTGTGTTAAGGCCACCCAGTGGGTCAACAGATTCTAAAGTTCTTCCAAAGGTCTCATGAAAAATGTAACAGATTCTGGCTCCACCGCATCTGAAAGAATAAAGTAACAACTGAAGCAGAAAACATGAAAAAAGTTCTCATTGCAAACATTTTTTGCAGTTATTTGGATTCAAACGTATTTTGAGTATGTTAAGCTCTAGTGTAGTAGTATTGCGAATGAAAGCCACCAAGAGCCAGTGGGTCAATCTAACTGCTCCATCAATATTCTAGAAAACCATTTGGTACTTACAGCTCTGAAGTCTCTATGTATTTTGCTGTTCCTTCAATAGTGTTACAATATTCTGTGGCAAATTTGGTAATAAGCTGCAATAAAGTGGCACTTTTGTCCTCAACAGGCTCCCCATAGCTGTTTAGTAGAGACTGGTACTGAGCAGCTAAAACATTGATTCTGGTTTTCAGTTCTGGCAAACAATCCCTGATATGATGCATCAGTAGTCTAAAAACAGAAAACAGTCCCTCATTAGAAAGGAGAAAAAGTTTCAGCTTTATCATTTCCATCAAAACAGAGAAGAGGCAGAAAATAATCACCAAAGGAAAACATTTAATCAGGAAAATTACAGTAAATTCAGAAACTGAATTTGGAACCAAACAGAGTTTTCCTTCGTGTATCACTGTACAGCAGCAAAAGAAAAAGCAAAGGTAAAAATATATGTGTAAATATTTTTCTAACACACCAATTTATATCTTAAAGTATCTTTAAAAGCACACATTTATTTTATTTTACATAATGTGTAATACCTGTTCAGTGTTCTAGCAAGATACTTGGTTCCATTTCGATTGGCTAGGGAAGGATACTTCTTTTGAAGAAAACCATACTCATCACGAATGGAATCAGCTACACTCTTCTTATTGTTAATATCCAACTGACTCCTGAAGTTAAAAGGCAGAGTTACACACTAGTTAATACATGCAAAGTAAAAGTAATTTACACTTCTGCTTTTGTGGACAGGACATCTAACAACTCATCTTCCTTAAACAATAAATGGTTTTATTTGTTGTTCCATGCAGCATAGTCAACAAATCAGTATGGGTAGCAGCTATACACAGACTAACAAATGCTTTTATCAAAACTACATGAGTTTTGACCTACCTAATGCAAAAAATGAAGTGAACAGTACTATAGCCATAAGCAGTTAGCACTAATATATACAAGATCTGTACTGGATCAGTGCTAATGTGAACAGCTGAACAGAAGCATCCCTCAAGCTAAAAAACAACAGTGGAAAGAAGTGACACTACAGTTCTTGCAGAAGTGTCCCTACTCCTTCCTAAATTAGCCATTGTTTGAGTGGAAGAACAGACAGGCTTTTGAAAAGTGAGCAACAAGCTTCTCTCTTGCTTATTCAGAAGTTTATTTCAACATCAAATCACCTTATTCTTAAAACCATATTAATAAAAAAGCCTCATTACTTCATATTAACAAAGTTTTAAAAATAGCATTAATGTGCCCAGACAGACCTGTTGACTACTCCAATGATGCCAAGCTTGACTGGAATCACTCTTCCCATGAGCACATCCATAGCATCAGTGCCAGCATCCATGAGATCCAGCTTTGTGATAACAGCAAGGGTTCTTCGACCTACCAAAAGGAAAACTCACTCACAGGGATGTTTTGTCTTGATCAGGGCAGCTAAAACTCATCATTGAAAAAGTTCCTCAGGCAGCTGCATGAAGTTTAATACTGCAAACCAGCAAAGACTAGCACAAGAACACGTGGTATTAGCCTGTCTGGAGCCCCTTACTAACGGGAGTGTAAGAAAGTGTTTGGCAGGTACTGCTCCCCACGCAGATCTGGTTAAACAAAAAGGTTTAGTCACCGTGCAGTTTGAAACTATAGTCATCACTGATTGCAACAAACATTTTGCATACTACATGAGGTTAGAGGCATTACTAAGCACTTGTGGAGAAGATTAAGTAAGGCAGGCAGGGGACTCACAAATGTGAGTGGACTGAACATACTTCTAGCTTATAGATAAGACCAGACATAATGGCAATCTGTTCAGAATTATATTTGAAATACAACTACCCAGTGGAGAAGCTGCTAGAGGAGGCAACAGGCCCACTTCCAGCATGCTGCATCAAACACATAGCTGAAAGCCCTAAGAGACTGAATAGTTGACATCCATCCACTGAAGAAGCTTTAGGGGATTTAATTTTGCTAATGAAACATATTTTTATTGAATATGTGACTGATTGTTTTCTGAATTAAAACTAAGTTTCATATTGGACACTGTGGAGGAACAAGTGACCTAAATTCATTAAATAGGTAAATACTGCACATCTAAACAGGTAGGCTAACATGCACAGGATTTGTCTGGGACCTTAATATTTCCTAGGCTCTTGGGTCTGAAAAAAATATGGCAAGAACTTTTTCTTTAAAATAGAACACACTTTTCACATCTCAAAATAAACCAGTACCTCAGTGAAATCAGTAGGTTCTTGAGTCCTGAAATTTTCAGACTAATGGAAGTCAGAGAGTCTACCTACTTTAGTACTTCAGGTTCTCATTACATACCATTATTGCTACAGAACCTGCAACATGAGCTGCCACTCCAGACCTTTAAGGTTTAGAATTTTGGGAAGTGATCCAAAAGTCACAGCTGATCATTTTTGCAGGGGTAGATTAAAAGGAAAGGATCTGCTGCCTTGAACCAGGACAATTTGACTGCAAAGACTGCCAGAAGAGGTTCTCTCTTAAGGTTACATGGCTGTGGAACCCATAAAGGCTTAGGCAGACAGGCTAAAGCAGAGTTGGAGTTTGAAACCAATCAAGACCTGTTACACTTTATGGGAAGAAGAATTTGAGGGTAAAGCATACCAACACTAAATTTTAGCTTAATTTCAGTATACCTATTTTCCAAGTATACTCTTCCATATTCTTTCAAATCACACAGTGCCATTTGTTAGTCAATGGTACCGACAGCACTTTCCATAAAAAAGAAGCAGGCACCCAGTAGCTTCAGATCTGTTTCAAAGTCATTAGGTAAATATAAAATTATAATCCTCTTTTTAGATTAAATCAAATCAGTCAGTTCTGTCACATAAATACAGGGCACCAAAATGGATACTGACCTTATACATTAATTTTATTCTTAGTAAAAGTCACTAAACTAACAGCTAGACAGTCAAGTACTAGCTGCAGGATGGCCTATTTTCTCTATTGTCCAATGTTGTTTCTTGTAGTAAAGCATGAAGTCATCTTAACAGACCCCTGTAAACTACTAAAAATCTCAAAACCCTCAACATTCTGTAATGCCATTTTACTGCTCTGGAAACAGAAATGGCTCCTATGACTACTAAAGTAGTTACTTGGCCTGTTCATAAGCCAGAAATCTATTATATATTAATTCATCACAGCATTGTCTGAGTTGCAGAGACTGCAGCAGGAAGTCTTTAAGCAAATGCAATAATTGTATTTTCTAGGAAATGCAATACTTTTTTTTTTTCCCTCACCACTTTTTGCCCCAACAACTTCAGTTTTATTTTAGGATTTAATTTAAAAAAGAAGTTGAATTACAGGATCCAGTTTTTCTTGCTGCTTACCATCTGGATCTACCTCCCGTGCAATTTTAAGTGCTTCTGAAGTGGCCATGTCTGTGTTAGCAGCTGTGACTGCCAGAATAATTGAATTTGGGTTGCTGATGAATTGAAGGATTAGCTCTCTTATTTGAAGTTCAATGTCCTTAGGCTGATCACCAACAGGCACCTAGAGAACAAAACCAATGTAGAACTGTTTAAAACTGTATATTTATGCCTGTATGAGACCACTCATTGAAAGTACATACCCTATGCCATGGTATAAGAAAAGTTTTCCAGCCCTTTCCTTCCCCCTTCACAAACAAACAGGAAAGAAAAGGAAGATCTTGAAAGGTATAAAAATCAAAAACACTCTTACAGAAGTAAGAAACAATGCAAATTATTTGATACTGTTGTCAAAAAGACTTTGTATCCAAGAACCACCTGCATAACTGGCAGAGCACGGTGTGTGTGTGTGCTCAGGCAGGGAAAGAAATCATCTTGTCATCTTCGTGCCACAGAAAATTATTCAGTATAAAACCCAAACAGACAGGACCTGAACATTTCTTCTAGTTTATCCTCACCTTATACAACTTCTTACACAAAACAGGCATAGCAACTTCTGGAGAAGCAACGGAGAAAACATTTTCAAAGTCGTCAACTACCCATCTATCTGCAGGTATAACTTCGAAACTTTGAGTGCTACCTCTTCTATTAAAAAGAGCATGCAACTTGCACACTTCCAATCCCTCAGTTGTATATAGAAAGAGGAAGAACTTAAGCAAATCTACCTCTTAAAACAGCAAAGAGCACCAGAAACCCAAATATTACACCAGAGGACAGTGACATCTCAAATTTATATAACCAACTAAACCTGAGGAAAGCTGATCTAACAATACAGAATAATGCCCAAGAGTGAATGTACACTCCTTGTTTCAAAATACACTGTTCACAGTGAGTCAGAAGAGAAGCCTTCTGCATCTTACCTTTGTCATTCCAGGTAAATCCACAAGAGTCAGATTTACAACATTAGATGAAAAAATCTTAAGATGAATAGGTTCAGGACTGATCCCCTACAAATACATTAATAATAAAAATTAATCACAATACTGGATTATTTAAATGCACCTTTAGAAAGCCAAAAGCTGTTGTTTCATGCTACAGAAACTTTTTTCCATCATAAACCTTACAACTACGTGGTGAGGAAGAAAAGCCAGCCACATCTGTCAACCAATTCCTTTGTCTTTGGAAGCAGACCTGTTTGCCCTCTCAACATAATGCATAAAAGCTTTTATATTTCAGTGATTACATAGATATGCAAGAATAGAATACCTGATTTTATAATTACACATAAAGTCATGTATGTGGAAAAATGGAAGCAAGTTTATCTCAAAGTTTATTTTTTGCACTATTATTACAGAAGCTTTGAAGTAAACCAACAGCAGTTCTCTGCATTTTCTTTTAGCTGAAGTAATTTATCTCATGAGCACAGTGAAAAAAAAAAACCTCAAGATAGCAAGCAGCATTACTGTTTTCTTCATTAGAATAGCTCAATGCTTTTCACTTCTAGCTGCCAAAACTGTTTAAGAAAGGTTTAAGCAGCAAGAGAATCTATAGCAAGACAAAGATGGATAGTGCAACATTTACCTTATTATTTCCTGAAATCCTCTCTGTTTCATTTTCTATTTCCTGACGAATTTCATCAAAATCTGTATAGATCTGAAGTACAGGAAAAAAACATTTAAAAATCAAGGACAGCATCCACTTAGCTAATTGCAAAATAATGCTCTCAGAGACAGTGAAAAACTCTGTAACTAAGTGTACAGAAGGTGAGAAAAAAATAAAAATTACTATTAGCCCTTACACTAATGCTAACAGCAATCATCAGTACTAAAAATTACAGAAATTGGAATCTTGGTATTTAATCTGTTGATTAATACAGTGAGATGGCAGGTATTAGCACTTATTACCCCATCAGTGTCAGACAAGGTAAAAATAGGGTTCACCTAAAGAGAATTTCAAACACTTAATTCCATTTCTAATTTAGTTGCAATCCTTTGAAGTTAATAAACAACGTGTAGCCTGAACCTATTCTCATCTCAAAGTGGACGAAGAACAAGGACAGAGTTTCATTCAAAAATTTTTCCACTCTTGTTAAAACTATTCTCATTTTGGCTTCCACCAATCCAAAATAAGTTAGCACAGAGTTACCCTTGCACAGGTTCCCTCTACATTCCTCTCTAGATTTCCTTCAATTTCTAGCACTGCCTAGAAGGTGAGGAAATCAGTTTAAACTAATAAACACTTAAATAATTCATCTGTCAATAAAAAGATGACTTTCTTCAAGCAAAGAATTAAGCTTTGACTCTCATTGAAGTCCTAGGTCGTCTCAGTTTCTGCTTCTCCCCCGATGCACATCAGGTTCTTCTGTTTCATAGCTTTCTAATAAATCTCTGAAGTAGCCAGTTCTTCAGTGGGCTGAAATGCCTTGTGAATATATATTTCCCTGTCTTTGCAATGTCCATTCTAATTTCGCCAATGCACAAAAAAGAAAAATCAACAAAATAACACAAAAAGGATTAAGAAAAATAACTCAGCAGAATCAATGACCCACACAACAGAACCACTGATAAACTTTCTGTCTTCAGTTTAAAAGACTGTTTTCAGAAGCTTTCTACTCATAAAAAGCAAACCAGAAAATCCTCAACTCTGGCGTATCATATAGCAGGTAGAATAATCTTTGGGAAAGTCAAGGGAAGAGATATAGAATTAAGTGTATATATGATAGTGTATTTATGACACTGCTACTCCATCATCAGAGTAAACATACCTTATTTTTGGTGTGAAGAAATTTACCCCACTCTTCAGCATCTATCTCTGAAAACAAAGAATTGATACATGAGGAAGAGGAAGCAGATGTTTTAATGACATTTTTCCGAGAGCCTGTTTGTTGAAAACTACAATGTGATTTTTTTTTTCAAGCAGCAAGAGAAAATAAATTAGTCTGCTTTCTACTGTTAGATGTTAAATAGTTCAGTACAAATACATTTATGCTTCTGCTTATGATTCTGCTTATTTAAACACTGCATCTCATTACTCTTTTTAATTTGTCTCTCTTACACAAGGTCCACCTTCTTAATTGTGACTGAGCCAATAGCTATCCTACCATTTTTCAGAAATGGTCTAGTCCATGAAGTATCAGCTTGCAACAGAAAACAAAAGATTTATTAGCAATAGCTTAAAAAACCTGAAAAAAATACCAACTTTTAGCATCTCTTCTTTTACCATGCAAGTGAGACCAAATTACAGCTGAAAGAAAAAGTTAGAAAAACCTGTAGAACCAAAACCAACCAAACAGAAAATACGTAAGAATTCTGCATAACAATGAAGTCTTAGGAGAACATGTCTCTTCCCAAATCTGTCAAGGACAAAACATCTCAACTCTTGTCAGTCACCACTGGTGTCCGGAATTACTTGGGGGCTATTCAAGAGCAGTCCCAGAAACAGCAAAGGAGGTTTTGTCAATACCTGCTTTGTAGCGTAGGCAGCAGTTTGAGTCACACTGTGAGATACTCACACTTCCACGACTAGGTTTCCAAGTATTAGTGGTAAGTTCCACTTCAAATTTTTAGTTTGTGGTCATTTCCCCTCTGCTCCCCAACACAGTAATCTGCTCTAGAAGAAAAGTCTACAAGAAATCTGGCCATGTGGCAAACACAATGCTTACCTACAATCAAGTCATGTTTCAAAACATTTTTTCCACTCAAGTTGAATTTCAAGATACTGACCAATAGAGATTTTTTTTAAAGGATTTGGGAATTAAAAGTGCAGGAAATTCTATGAAGCAGCAACAGTACAGAAGAAAAGCAAAAATTATCTCATTCTAATGCAACATGGTCAGAAAACTAAAAATTCCAACCAGATCACAAGACTCAGCAAAACAATCAATCAACACAGTAGCCAAAGTGTAAAAGTAAAAGTGTAATCAACAATAAAATGGCATGAAATGTATGTGGTTTAGTGTATATAAGCATGCACTTTATGCATAGGGAGAAAAAGCAAGTGGATAAAGGCAACCTTTAGAAAGGTGTCTTGGATTTTTCCATGTAGCAGGGTCTGCAGTTAAAGAGAAACAGCATTGAATGATGTTTAAAATTTTTTAATCATATTTAATATAGCATTTTATTAACTTTCAGTACCAGACTGTATTACAAAGATCACAAATGCATGCAGACAAATGTGCATGCTATTCTACTATTTATGAGAATGTGTAACATTAACAATATGCATAGAAATAAGATCTTAACTAAACACTGATAAATGTTGCATATTAAGCAGATATTTTATACGGCACAAACTTTACTTGATGATGACTTTATTATTGCTGCTCATCTAATTCCAACAGCTCACAATATTTTTATCTGAGCACAGAAAACAGCACCATTAGGTCCCACAAAGCTGAACTTCTTTGGCGGAGTATGTTTCTCATCATTTACTCATGGCAAGAACGAGAAAGAGTAAGGAAACATTTTTAATGTCACTGGAAGTCATATTACTGTATGGGAAAGAAGTCTGAGGTTTTGCATCAGTCTTTCTAATGCTCAATTAAAAACCCAATTACGGCAATTCTGAGAGATTTAAGAAGAGACAACATTAGCTATCACCCTTCTCAACTTTTAATCTTCTCAAAATATTTATGGAAATCCCATTACAAAAAAAGACTTTTTATTGAGGGGTTAAGTTCACAACTCCATATTTTTATGTGATGCCAGTACAGCTCCATGGAAGTGCAAGAATCAAAACAAACTGGTGAAGACATTTTCTGCACATGCCTGTTTGGCATAAAATGCAAGTAGCACAGCAACAATAAATTCATCAGTTTGGAAAGCCTAGTACATCTGGGGAATTATTTTAATGTCTTGCTCAGGTGGGTAAGTCAAAGGTTTATCATCAATGGAAACATGCTTATTTAGATGGACTGGATCCATTCAGGAAAAAAATTTAAAAACCAAACTACTTTTATCCTTACTGTTCTGCAGGCACATGAGCTATGAACACTATGAACTAGTGTTAGGAGGCAGCTTTTGTTTGTCTTGGTTCGTAAACAGGCAAAATTACATATCTGTCTCCAAAATAAGTGTAAAATGAAAGGGCTCGTTAATTCCAGTTTATTAAACAGGTTTAGATTATTTACAGTTCAGAGGAAATGAAGCAAAATGCACATATGAGAAGAAACTACAGTATCTTCAAGATTGTATTGCTTATCCTGTCTTAAAAACTGAATCTAAGAAAGTAAAGATAGGCATAAAGCCAGGAAGAAAAAGATACAGCAAGATACTGCCACCATTACATTTGAAAGATACAGACCAAGCACTCTCCTGTTATGTCCCTCCTAGGGAGATGATGTCCTCTTAGGACACACTGGTTTTAGTCTTAAATTACTGGTTTTGTGGTGGCATAGGAATTTGCAGCTAGGTACTAGGCTTAGTTCTCTATATAAGGAAACGTTTTGTTTTAGTATGATCTATTAACTTTCTAAAATACATAAAAAAAAGATGCATTCTAGTCAAAGGCATTGCATTTTAACTTGATAGCATCTACAGATCAAAGGAGACTGAAAAACGTTTAAGCTTTAACAAGCCGCAAGTTTTCTTTGCTATCTATAACACAAGAGAAGATTGAAGCCATGATAAATGGCTTAGTCTTAACCTCAGCCTTGGTGTATATAAAAAGAAAAAAGAAAAAAAGTTAAGGAATAAATGCAGTTTCCTGAGGTGTACAGAAAATCTCATCTGGTTCAAGTATAACCTTTGAGAAGTTTCATTTTACACAGCGGGGAAACTCTTGCCCCACTCTTCTGAGGAAGTCTGTACTGACACCCCTTTAATATTTGAGAAAAATTTCCCAATAGCTCTAATTTAATGCAAAGGAGTTTTTAGGAATGGAGGAAGGATTTGCATTACTCAAAATGCAAGGATGCTCAAAGCAAGGAGAAAATATTTTAATTAGCCTACACTTAACAACCCAATGTTCTGGTTTACATGCAGAATGGTGTTTTTACCACTAGTTTCACTGGCAAATCAGTCTTCCGCTGGTTATGTTACTTTCTGGAAGCTTTTTGGGCAAAACTTTCAGGTGAATTAATCACCTGATTACATTCAAGATTCAATGCTAGATAAAAGTGTGCAGAAATGACATTTCAGTCATTATAAAATCAAGTGTTACAGATTATAAGAAATTATTAAAACAGCAGCTATTAAGAACAAACAGATCCCGCCTTTCAAAAAAAAAAAAAAATCTCCTGAATAAAGCAACAGTCTGTTTGCTTTTCTGGCTTTTCATATCTTGGAGTGAGACCTGAAAACTTTAATTAATATATGGGAAAACTAGACATGATTACAGTATTTTTCTCAGGACTGCCTTCCACCACATTGTTACTTGTTATCTCCTACACTGCAGTGCTCCTTTAAGAAGTTCAAATACAGTACAATGCTAACTGACTTCAGTTATTCATGTATCTCTTCTCCCTTCCTAAAGCAGTAGAAATGTTCTTCATATACAATGGGAGCACGAAGAAGCTGTTCAGAGTCATAAAAGGCTACCACCATAGAGGATTTCTTGCAGCATAGCAACAAGAACTTCCTAAATACTAAAAATGACAAAAATCAGCAAAGCATGAAGAATCTTACCTGTTTTCCTAGCTTGCTAGTTCCCATACCTTCATAGCTCTTGGACCCAGCAGACTACCATCTGAGCTCTCTTTTCCTCCCCCATCACCTCCTCCTTTCCTAGCTCTGTCTCTCTCTAAATAAAAAAAAAAAACCCAACTTGGGAAAAAAACGTGCACATCTTCCAACTCCTTCTGTATGTTGTACTACTTTTTCCATCCTTGACACTAACTAGATGGCAAAATCTTTTGAGTGAAAGCTCTTTTTCTCTTGTGCTTCTACAAAGCTAAGTACAATGAAGAAGTCCACACTGTTTGGGAGCTAGGGGTAAGAGATTCCTATTTCAAGTAGAGAGCAAAAAGCTGACAAAACACTGTTGATTTAGCAAGCAACAGATCTGTATTAATTATTCCTGTGTTCCATATCAATTCTATCTGTTCAAAATTTGAACAATGTTCAGCTTCCTATCTTGGAGGAAAAAAAAAAAAAAAAAACCTATAAACATTTACTAATTGACCATTCATATGTTCCCTCCTCTTTTCCGTTTCCTAACAAATGGGTAAGCTACCAGAATAGGTCTTAGCTACAAGACCAATTTAATAATTCACAAGACCAGGCCCAGTTCTCTTGTAAATGCTTCTTCTCTTGCAATTTGATAAGAGAACACCACAGCGTGGTATCACCACATCAAACTCACCACATGTGCTGAATCACTAGAGGCTAACAATAAACAGCAAAAGCATAATGAGAACATTTCCTTCACACCAAACCACACATATCTCTATAGAATATATGTATCAGTCTGAAATAATCATGTTATGAAAACACAGCACTTCTTCATATTTAATGGAAAATTCGTATCTCTGCTATTTTCTGGCTATCTTGATTTATTGCAGTGACCACTATAGGAGGGTATCACATAGCTCATCAGTGACTTTGAGGAACAGCACAGATGATCTTTAACATTGCATGTTAGAAAATCAGAAGTTAGTCCAAATGCCTGGCTGCAATTCTTTCTCAACAATCTTTCCCAATGTGCTCCCGAGAATCAAATAAAAAAATTTAAAAAAAAAAAAATCCCCAAAACAAAACCAAAAAAACCCCAAGCCAACCAAATAAAAACTCTGAATTGGTGTGAACTGATATTCTTTGGCAGCTCACATGCATCACAAGATGTCAAAATTAAGCTATTGGAGAGAGACGATTTTTTCTTTCATAGTCATAGACACACAGCAATGGTCCGTGCTTAAACGAATACCACAGCAATCCAAAGTGCTTTGTGTTAAAAACAGGGAAGCTTCCTGGATGCAAACACTCAGAGGTAAAATTTAAGCTTGTAAGAATCACAGACTAGTACTATTTTTAAACAGATGTATTTATATATAACACTAGTACATATCTAAAGCAAGCATTAGGATGGATAAAGGTGACAAATCACAAAACAAAGAGCAGTTGCATAAAATTATCTGTGCACACAGAGTTCATTACCAGCACATTCAGAAAGCAGCATGCCGCGACTGATATTCTCTTGTCCAATATTCAATTTGTAAAGAAGAAACCCCTCGTCTGGAGAAAATCCTTTTCTGCACGACTATGGCTAGATTTCCCTCTGGGAAATCCCAAACACATATTCAACCCTACCTCAACATCCACCTCATAACAAACAAAAATATGACCTGTAATAGTATAGTGACTTATTACAATGTCTGACAGCATAGCCAGGATAAGAGGTTGCCATCTTTTTTCTTTCTAAGCTACTTGATCCCATCTTCTCAGATGTAACACCACAATCTGTACATACGCTAAACCACATCAGTGACAAAACCATTTAGACTGCGATTTGCCTGAATTTTGGAGGGAGAAGAGAGGCTTTTCAAATGCAACTGATAAGTCATAAAGGTTTGTTTGTTCTTACCAAACAAGCCCACATCTCTCTCAAAGGAACATCAAGAAGAGATTAAAACATGTATATCTTACATACTGATTTTTTTCCCCAAAGATCTAAATGGGCCTTATAAATATTAATTTAGCCCAACATCCTTATGCAATAATATCATTATCCCATTTTAAATTTAAAATCTGAATCCACAGATCAAATGCAAACTGCAACAGAAAGACTCTGCCTCGACTCAGAATACTCTAATTACAAAACCGTATTTATACCTGTAAAGTTGCACAGCAGAACAAAACCACAGAATCATAGAATGGTTTGGGTTGGAATGGACCTTAAAGATCATCGAGTTCCAACCCCCCTGCCATGGGCAGGGATACCTTCCACTAGATCAGGTTGCTCAAAGCCCCATCCAGCCTGGCCTTGAACACTTCCAGGGATGGGGCATTCACAGCTTCTCTGGGCAACCTGGTCCAGTGCCTCACCACCCTCATAGTGAAGAATTTCTTCCTTATATCTAATCTAAATCTACCCTCTTTCAGTTTAAAGCCATTAGCCCTTTGTAAAAAGTCTCTTTCCAGCTTTCTTGTAGGCCCCCTTCAGGTACTAGAAGGCTGCTATAAGGTCCCCCTGGAGCCTTCTCTTCTCCAGGCTGAACAACCCAAACTCTCTCAACATGTCTTCATAGCAGAGGTGCTCCAGCCCTCTGATCATCTTCGTGGCCCTCCTCTGAACTTGCTCCAACAGGTCCACATCCTTCTTAAGTTGTGGTCCCCAGAGCTGAACATAGTACTCCAGGTGGCGTCTGCTATCTCTTAAATCATATTTTATCCTACAACTCAGAATCAAAGCATTCTGAAAAGTACTAGAAACTATATATTGCACAGTGCAAGTCACATAAAACCACATTTAAAGAGATCAAGTGTGCCATTTCTAAAGGGTTGCCCAGAGACTCTCTGAATTCTCCACCCTTGGAGGTTTTCAAGACCCAATTGGATAAAGTCCTGAGCAACCTGGTCTTAGAGTTCAGAGTTGGCCCTTTTTTGAGGAGGAGGATGGACTAGAGACCTCCTGAGATCATTTCCAACCTGAACTGTCCTACAGTCTCCCACAGTCCAGCACACCCTGAACTGCACACTAAAAATTCTTAATCATTATGAACCCGAATTGTGTTCTCTGCTTGCGGCAATAATGAAAATTGGAGCTTAAACCTTTTAAACTGCACAATATTAGTAACTGTTCTTCAGAAACCAAAGCTATAAATATTACATGAAAACAAATACTGTAAAGAACTTCTGATACCTTGACTTACTATTGCTAGAAATAAATTCCAAAAAATTTGAACACAATGAGAATTAATAATTATAGCCCCGAGTTTATCATGCCATCAAAAGCCTGTGTACTTTTTACTGTCTACATCAAAAAGCTAAGATTTATCTTACAATCAGAAGGTGGATATGCCCCTGCTGCTCTTTCATAAGATCAAGAGCACTAGTTAGTATAGAATGAGCATTTAAACTCCCAAGGGACAACTGAGATTACTTTCTTGATCTGCTGAAGGATAATGAGGAGCAGCTGAGGGAACTGGGGTTGTTTAGCCTGGAGAAGAGGAGGCTCAGGGGAGACCTTATTGCTCTCTACAACTACCTGGAAGGAGGTTGTAGCCAGGTGGGTGTTGGTCTCTTCTCCCAAGTAGCTAGCGATAGGACAAGAGGAAATGGGCTCAAGCTGCGCCAGGGGAGATTTAGATTGGATAGTAGGAAAAATTTCTTCACGGAAAGGGTAGTCAAGCATTGGAACAGGCTGCCCAGAGAGGTGACGGAGTCACCATCCCTGGAAGTGTTCAAAAAACAGGCAGATGTGGCACTTTGGGACATGGTTTATTGGCCATGGTGATGTTGTGTTGATGATTAGAACGATGATCTTGGAGGTCCTTTCCAACCTTAATGATTCCTAGTTTTTACTTTCATTATAAATAATCCAGCCACCAAGCCAGGAAACGTGAAATTCCTACTCTGCCCTTAACTGGTTTAGTGGTGGACTTGGTAATGTTAGGTTAATGGTTGGACCGGATGATCTTAAAGGTCTTTTCCAACCTAAACGATTCTATGATTCTATAATATAGAAACACTCCAGAAGACACAAGCTTCAAACTAGACAGCTTCAGAACATTTAAAGTGGTGTTCTTGATGCACTTGGAATCTCTCAGTGCAGCCCAGTAAGGTAGCATCTGTGAGCTACAGAATGTGTCTACCAAATTCTGTTTGCATCTACTACAAGTTTGTTTTCATTTCTCCTTTTTCTGCTCTATTCAGAACTTATCTATTTCCTAATCTCCTTCTAAAAAGTCACAAACTCATCCTCTGAAGTAAAAACCTTTTTATACAGCAAAAGAAGAGGGGAAAAACACACACAAGAAAATCATGTTCTCTACACTCACTATCATAATCATTATCATGACAATCATTATCATCACTGAAATGCTTTCTTTGGCCTGCTTTTCTCAAAAGCATTTCCTAAGAACAAACAGGAAAGCTTAAAACATTGAATATATTTTTAATATCCAGAAGATTTTGACTTCGCGACATTTGCTGAATGGACAGATGTGACAACAGCTGTGTTTTCTTCCAAGTAAATTTTAAAAAGCACACTAGAGTTTTAAGACTACAAGAACTTTTTTTTTCAGTCAAATGAACAAGATTAAAAGCCTCTTTCCTACTAGACAAAACACACTCTTGGATCACACTTACCATTTTCATCTCCAGCTGTTTTCCGACCATCCTCTGGTGAAACATGCACCAGCTGCAGAATAAGGGGTCTCCGGGTGACAACTCCAGTACCTCGTGGGAGCAGATCCCGTCCCACAAGACTTTCCAACACAGAACTCTTTCCACTGCTCTGAAAATTGGAATACAGCTACATGATTTTCTTAAACATCAAAATGCTGTAATATTTTAGTTTTAGCTTGCTTTCATCATTCCTGTGAACAGTGCTCTATTCTGTCCTCTGCTATATGGTGCCCAAAGGAGCATCTGATAGACTCACTGCATCTAACACAGTGGTATCACACTGCATAGGCACTAAAGGACTCAAGTCTGCTATAAACCAGTTAACTGTCTAAACCTGCTTGGGATACTTAAAAGCCATGGGACACTCAAAAGCCACATAGGCAGATGTGTTTTCTATCTCTTAAGGCTAAATTAAACATGTAATAGGTTTCAGAAAAATTAATATCCTATTTAACAGTTTCTACCCCAAATATATCTCTCCAGAAACATTTTTTGAAAATAAAAAATTATTTTTCTTTATAATGCTCAGAAGGAAATTCTATGTCTTCTACTCTGTCATTTTCTAACATCTTGCAGTAAAACTTCACCCTGTAGACTAAGGAATTTAACCTTCTGTTAGTATTAACGTGGGCTGGCCATGTTAATACTAACAGGTGCATTATACAAAAAGATATAAACTATGTACACTTGAGTACCTTAAGCTATTACAAACTTATCCCCTTCAGTTTGTTTTTTTTGTATAATTATATCAGCTTCATAAGTGCAGACATTGTTTTATACCCTAAATAAATAAAACAACATTGTTTTATACTGTCTCTCCCGCTCTGTGGGTATGTCTATGTAAGTATTTACAACTGAATTGACTGCAAATATTTGTCTACGTAATAACAAACCGTAAGAAGCTGTGAAATACTTAAAGGTTGTGAAATTACAAATTCACTTTGAGAGTCTACATTTAAAATCTTCTCCTCTAACACTTTTGTATAAAATGCAGAATTGGGCTACATGGTCCAATTAAGCAGCTGTGAATACATGTTTTTTAGGAGTGATTCAAGACTACTACCACGTTAAAACTAACACTAAACAATAGGCCCAGATAGGCCAAAGTAATACTTTGAAAGTCTGACCGATAAGATTTTGTCTTTTCAATAGAACTGTATTAAACTCTTCCAGTTTTCTGCAGCTGCAAATTCAACATGGGCATGTCATGAGAAAACCTGCTCTGACAATCATTGCTGTCAGCTAGGAAACGTTTCTATGTTAATACTACTACCAAACAATTCTCTTAAAAAAACCCCACAAAACAAAAAAAGCAGATGCTTCTGACAGCTAGAATGTGCATTACTGCTTACAACCTCAATTCAGCTTACCAGTTTTGAAAGAACAGATTCAAGACTTCAAGTAAATCATAAAATGAGTACATAACCTAGCATAACATGAAATAAAAGCAGCGCTGAATATCTTTTAAATATCATGCATTTAGTGACATCTCAGGTGACTTTTCTAAAAATGAAAAATAGATCAGCAGAGATCAAGCAACACAGCACTATCAGACAGCACATTTCTACTTGTGCAATAAGACAAGACAGGAACATATTACATGAAAGCATTAGAACCTATTAAAGTAGGACTTGTATGCAGAAGCACAAAATAATTATTAAAATACAAGGCCAAGCCCCTAGAAAGTTTGAACAATGACAACAAATGAAAATCTTCTTTTCTTTTAACACTTTACTGTATAACTATGCTTTATGGCACAGAAAAATGCTGTTTTATCAAAAATGTCATTTGTCTCAACCGGTGAATAATAAACCAATGTAGACTGTGTACATTTTTCAAAGTAAATCTAAGTCAAATTTGATGGCAGTGAGGTCAACTGTCCAGATAGAGTAGGGAAAAGGACAGGGTGACAGGAAACAAAGATAGCCTTATGAAGATTTTTTGCTTCAAAAGACTCCCTTAGAAAGTAGTTAATAACTTTCTTCTTCAGCTGACCTTCTTCAATCAACTTCGGGCACCTTCCATGCATGGAGCTCATGACAGGATATTGGGCACTGAAATCTTACCAAAGAGTAACTGAAGAACAATCTGGCCAAAGCACAAACTAGCTCTGGAAGCCTCCCTGAGAGCTCCGTTGTAGTACACTTCTGAAGAATTACTGTTATTACAGAATGCGAAAACACATAAATTTCAGAGTGACAAAACAAACAAACCACTTCTTAACTTCATAATTTAAAACAAGTGAAATGCCTGCTCAAAAAGATGAGACATAATAAAGGTTCATCAGATGCACTGCGGAAAAAAAAAGAAAAAACAAACCACCAGGGTTTCATTCATTAAAAATATTTTGAACATCTCTTGAGCAAGATTTCTTACACATGGGTAGAATGATCACTCAGTCTCAAAGGGCTGGAGGTGAGACTTAGATGAAATGGTTTCTCCTGAATATATAACCCAAGTAGAGAAGAGATAGTAATAAACAGCTCAAGTCCTTACCAAGAACCTCATCAAGACAGGAAACCAAAATCCATGGGACAAGTTGCCGCACACTACTGCTCATTGTTCAGTCTTTCCAAAAGAGTGGTATTGCAGGCACCTGAGATGGGTACACACCAAACTATATATGGAACTAAAACGCTATGTCTTAGTTAGTGTTTAGACTTCCTCTCCCACAGTTATCTTTGGAAGTAGAAGGAATGATCTGGATCCTTTGCAAATGTAAAGTCATACATTAGATGAGACACTGCAGTACTCCACACATCAGGAAATTTGCTTCAAATTGCATTACTCCCCCTTATTAAAGCAATCTGTTCTTGGAACAGAATGCAGTACCTAATCATGCACTCCTTAGTCTGGGCCCCATGCATGTCCATTACCAAGAATTGTCTAAGAACATGGTAAGGAAAGCAGTAAACACAAAGCTGATCTTTTTCTGCCAGTGGCAGGAGGTGAGAGATATGGCGTCTGTTCAGAATACAAATTCAGTTCAGCCAGTCCTTCATACCACAGATGTATACAGAGACTAATACTGATGACCAAAGGTACCACAGAATTTTTAGGAATAAGTCTGCAGCAGCAGCATCACGCTTATTTTGTTATCTCATTGGAATGCTTGTCACAATTCTAAGCATGGACTGAAATGCATAAACTCATTTCATGACAAGTATAGAAAAGCATTAACAAATTCTAACCTTTTGTGGCAAATCAATCAGGTTTTCTTCTGGACCTATACTTGATCCTAATTTGAAATATCTATAAGCTGTGATATCTAGAGGAACTTTATATAGGTTGCTCAGGAAAAAAAAAGGCAAATACAGGAACACCTTGCTGTCTGTTGCTTCTTTAACAGTTACGTCAAACTTCCATTCCTGAGTATTTAACACACTGCTCTGTTAAACATCATCAGTTTTACAGATAAGGACCTGAGTTTGGTGGATGGTAAAACCATTTTTCCTAGAAGTACTAAGATAAGAAGAGATGATGCACCTAAGGACTTAAATATTTTATTTCAATACACACTGACAGTATGTATGATGTAAATCTTATCAGCTTTCTCACTGCCTCCTTAACAGTTATATTTTCATCATTGTCAACACCACCTTCAGGTTAATCTAAAACAATCGAGGATGAAGGGCAGAATAACAGGGAGACAATTGTGTACTTACTCTCACAAATTAAAAAGCTGAAAACTGCAAGAACTGTGATCCACTCCGAACAGCCAGCATCTCTACTGTTTAGCAGTCCTAATGATCTTGCTTTGGCCTCCCTATCCTTCATTTCTTCTTTACTTGCCCCTGCATATTTCAGCTGTGTGCACTCCTTAAGTATCAAAAAGCATTTGCTCCCATCCATTATGCTAATTCTTATGAGAAAATTTGGTTTGCAACCTGCTGTATTACTAACCACATTTTTCAGGAATTCAGAAGCAGCAGACAGAAATGCATGACTTTATAATTCGCCAGCTTTATTAACAACAAGAGATGTGACTTTCAGAACACTTCAGTGTTGTTGAGAAGCCAAATAGAAGAGACTCTGTATTGAAAATTTTGAAGTAACACTATGAACAACCCTTCACATTCATCCCAAACATTTACTTCACTGGCTTTCTTATTAGTTTTCCAAGTCCCCATTAGAACTCCTAATTCCTAAGACTTGTACCCAATAGCCAACAGCATGCAAAGATGCCTTCTCCATATCCAAAAGAGAACCCTGACCCAATCCTCTTCCACTATTGATAGTTACCCTCCACTTTGAGCCCCATCTATAGGCACAAAGGCCTAGAAGACCCTGATGGTGAAGTCCCAGGCAAAGAAAGCACCAAGTGCCGCAGCCTTGTCCATATTTACTGTCACTAAATCACCCGTCACAGTCAGCAGCAAGCCTGTATTTCCCTCATTTCTCTCTTTTCTTCTTTAACTGCTGATGCAGTGCTGGAAGTTCTTCTTGTTGCCTTTGATGTCCCTTACCAGTTTGAGCTCTAGTGGAATGTTGGCTTTCTTAATACCATCTTTGCATATGCAGGCAGTATTTTTATATCCTTGAGCAAGCTTGTCCTCACTTATTTCACTGTCCTGTGACTCACTGGATCCCACCAATTAGCTCAGTAAATAAACCAAAGTCTGCTCTTATTCTTAGGAAGTCCATGTAACAAGAAGGCAATAAATGCAAAGACTCACCTGGAGTCTCACTGATGGACAAGAACCATGAGATTTTTTACAGTCATTTGCTCAGTGTTGCATATTTCAAGTATTATTAAAATGATAATGGACTTTGAACAGCTGCAACAAATTTCAAGTCGTCTTACAAGAATCTGCTGCCTTCCTTCTGTCTATCTTTAGACTTCATAATCGCTTTGTGGAGCCAATGTAAGATAAATCATCTGTGGAAAAAAAACCCTGTATATGGAAATATGTCCAATAAGCTACTGTGGAATTTCCAACAAGAAAATTTGCTGAAAGGGGTGTAAACTTTGTTCATTGCTTTTGATAGACAAACTGATAATTTTTTTATTATCTGACCAAATTGGAAAAAACTGCAGAGAACTCCTGCAACAAATACAGATTTACTGCAAGACAGCACAAGAAAATAAAAAGGCAGTGATGTCCGTAT